CCGGCCTCTCTTTGCACGGTTACGGATTTTTATCAAGGAATGTACGACTGACAATAGGAAGTCTTTGAGTTTCATGTATTTCTGTGGAAAAAGTTGCGAGTAAATTATAAAAGAGTTCACCAATGTAACATCCACAAAGTGCCAGAAAATACGTTGCCACCACTTTTTACTTTTCCTGTTGATTTCATAATACGACTTGAGCATATCAGCTTTATCAACGCAACCCATAAAAGCATTATAGTCTACGCATATTTGTGGACAAGTTACTTCTTTCAAAGATCCATCTTTTTGCCTCCTGTTGGCTTGAGAAATTTTAGAAGCATCATGGAAATTAGATAAGAAATGGACAGGTTTCTTATCTATCCATTTCAGCCAACTGACTCCGTTATATGAGGAGCGGAATTCACTATCACCAACTGACATTTCTTTTTCTTTTTTCTGTAATTTAGGTAAATATTTTCTATCTTTCCTTACAGTCCCACATGCCAATATTTTCAGACATAACAAGTCTGACATCAATGTAACGGTGGTAAAATAATTATCAAAAAAAACACAATAATATTTTCCTATCAGATCGTGAGTCAGATCTTTGACTACTCTTTCACCAAGGAACTTTTCCGACTTATCGTTCGCTTTTCCGGTATAAATCTGGAATTCACAGACATATCCATATTTGTCAGCTCTAACCCAAACCTTATAGCCCCGCTTGATAGGTTTCATTGGCAGATACTGCCTTATGCTATTCCTACCTTTGAACCTAATCATACTTTCATCAATGGCTTGATGTTTGTCAGGACCGTAGAAAATTTTGAATGTTCCAGAAAGATTTTCCAGCAATGGTCTGACTTTGTACAGTCTATCGAAATTGGGATCGCCCCTTGGTGGTTCCTGAGAATTATCATTCAAGTGTAAAGTAGATAAGAGTAATGAAAATCGCTTCACAGGCATGACTGAAGAGACGTATGGATCATTCATCTGAAAGTTCGTAGACCAATAGTCTCTATGCGATGGTGACCTTTTGATCCCCATTATTATATTTAGCCCCAAAAACTTTTTTATCTCATCATTGGTGATGGGTTCAAATTTCAATTTTTTCTGAGTACAATAAAGATTTGACTGTTCTACTATGATGTCAATGAAGCTTTCTGAAAACAAACATAAGAATACGTCTCCTGGAGTTTTCACACTATCAGGGAGATTCTTTGGACCTTCGTGTTCAAAAAAACCAGGTTCAAAAAACGATCTCTTTTTTGCTTCCCAGATACCGTCTGTTCTTTCAAGTCGACAACTTAGTGGAGTATCATCCTCTTCGTCAGTATGGTCAACTGCTTCAAGATCTGGACATAATATATCGTCGGATATATCAGGTGTCTCCTCTATAGAATCTTCAGGATCATACTCATCTTCACTGCTCTCGGTATTTTCTGACTCCGCATCACTAGGTATATGTATAAACTCTTCCATTGCAGACATGGTGAAGAATAAAGGTCCTTCTTTATAAAGTTAGCAGTAGACGTATTTTGTACAAATGAGAGGTCTGTAAATATTTATACTGTAGGGAGTCGAAAACGCTTCCCCCTCTCCATCATCTCAATAGGTATAATATATAAAAATAAGTAATAATAGTACTCAGACACTGTAAGAGATCGAATCCTTTCTTAGACAAAGGTTACCAGAGTCACTGATTATGATTCTGAAATCAAGATTTCGGACCTCACGATGGTGAATCCAGAATAGCAGCTTATAGATGTATGTCCAATAGATTATCCTCTATCAGTTTTTCAAACACGAATCACGTGTAAAACATAATTTTGATACGATAGTAGGCAATTACGTTTAGAAAATTATGAATGTCTGAACTCGGAACTCAGGTGTATGATTGTCGACCCGAAAAATCTCATGAAGCCGCCATATAGGGTCCACTTTTAGGAATTTCAAAAATTTGATACTGGATCCGTAATCAGCGACCCCGAAAACCCTTTTATACAAATTTTCATAAGATTACCTTAAAAACTCTGTCCATGGCCGAATTTATTCGAAAAAATTAAAAATTTTCCGTCTTTGATTGTTTATAAATAATTAAATAAATAAATTTTCAAATTTTCAATCAAAGCATTACGAAGCCTAAGTAATAATGATAGTGTAGAAGTTTATTAGAGAGCGATTGAGCTGAAAACGGTCGCGGTATGGATAAAAAACTGAAAAAAGTTTGGTGTATCATATATGATACGCTGCCCCTCAAAGGATTAAGTACTTCTCGAGTTATAAGGCTCGAATGTTACAGTACCGCCGCCGACATTATTTTCATTTTTGCACTGAAAATTCATTTTCATGTAAAAATGAAAATAAGAGAAACAATCTCCAATGACCTTGATCTTAACGAATGTTATCCAAGATATGATCCTGAACAACATTCAAGAGGTTTTAGTCATCGGTCGGATACCTTGCGTAATGCTAAAGTCGGCGGCGGTACTGTAACATTCGAGCCTTATAACTCGAGAAGTACTTAATGAAAAAATATTTTATTATAGTGTTTTGGAAAGCTCTCGAGATAAGCTACAAGAATATTCAACGAAAAATGGGGCTTCCTATTTAAAAAAATGACCTTGACCTTCAAATGACCTTGAAAATCGAGTTCAAGGTCAAGGTTGTTGGTACCATTGTGTGGCCCCCTCTGTCCCCTTCAACTTTTGTAGAGGCCATTTTTTGATATCATTCATTTTGACAGAGGTACCTGCGTGGTCGGATTAAAATGAAACACACTGTACACTGAACAGAAGAGCACAATAGAAACGGACCTTTTCTTGTTTGGGTATTCTTACTTGCTAAAGGAACGCCAGGCAATGTTGCCAGATGTACCGATTTCCCGCTTTTTCGACCGTTGGTGTGCGACACGTGTTATGTTTCTACAACTCAGGTCCCTCAGTATTCATCTGTTTTTTGGAGCAAACGCACGTTTCGTACAGTTTCCAGTATTTATTTGTGTATTTGTCAAAGTGTATTTGTCTGCGTAAATTATTTATAAAAACATTTCTTTCTTATGCAAGTGAACAGTGCACAGTAACATAATGCAGAAGGTAATTATTAGTAATTTATTCTTTTAAATTTATTAGTAAATTTTGTTTATAATATAAAAAAATATTGTTAAATTTGTAGATCATTATGTACATTTATACATTGGTAGGCGTAATAGGTTTTCCTATATGTATTACGTCAATTAATAATTGTTTTACTTCTTATATATTATAGGAGGAAGTACAACATGATGCAGATTCCACTGAAAATGTATGTTGTATCTGTCAGCACAGTGAAAATAAAAATACTCCAAGTACCTCAACTGCAGTTCAGGAAAAATTGATTGAAGTGAATAGAGGATTACCCAAATTGAGGTCAGTTGCAACAAATTTGAAGAACAAGGAGCTTCTTAATTTTCTGCAGAGTGGAAAAAAAGTATTTGTTCATTCCAGTTGTCGGAAACGATTTACCGAGTATAAAAGTGTTTCAGCTGAAATGAAAAAACTGGAACAGTCTGAAAATTTATGTGTCAGTCCACCGAAATCGAAATTAAGAAGATCTTCAGATTCCTCTTTTGATTGGGATCATAATTGTTTTATTTGCACCAAATCATTAGTTAGCCAAAAAAAAGTTAAACAGTGTGACAAAATATCTGTTGTCACTTTATATAACACTAAAGAAAAAATACTTGATGTTATTAAAAACATAAGAGACGATTTTTCTCGATCTCTTCTTTTAAGAATAAATTCTGTCAATGATTTAAGATCCGTAGGTGCAAAATACCATCGATTGTGTTTTGCACAAATTGTAAAACAGGAAAAAACACCGGAAAAAACAATTGATCCGCGAATCGTAAATGTTAATGACGCTATGGATCAAATAATAGATTATATTGAGAATAATCGTGATTGTCAGTTTTCTCTGAGCGAGTTGATTAATGTCGTACCGGATAATCCGCCTGCTCCTAAAACCATCAGACGTCGACTAGAGGAGTATTATGCAGAAGATCTTGTTGTGTCAAATTATCAAGGACTGTCGACTCTTTTTTGTTTCAAAAAGAAACATCATGACATTTTAAATAAATCTTTTGTTGAGTCAAATTTGGAGGCTGAGGATGAAAATAGTAGAAAAATTAAAGAGGTTGCAGATATAATCCGCACAGAGATCTGTAAAACAATATATATTAATGATAATTATCCTGCCAGTGATGAAATGTTCTCTCAGAAACAATTGATAGATGTAGTTCCTCCATCATTACAATTATTACTAAATGAGATTATCGCGAAAAATAAAAGAGGAAAGAATAATGATAATGTTCTTGACAAAAAGACAACGTCAATTGCACATGCAATTATGTCAGCTGTAAGACCACGCTCTTTTTTGTCACCCCAACAACTTCAGTACAACCTCGACAATCTTTTCCGCGATTGAAAACTATAACTTCAGAAGAAAATATTGCTGAGTTAGGAGAAATAAGACTTGAACCATACACGAAACCTTCTGGTGAAGGATTAAGAAAAATAATAGCTGAAATACAAGAACGACATGCACAATTGAAGCCTACGTATACAACACATCTGAATACACTTTGGATGTTTATGAAGTATACTGAATCCAACAATTACATCGGATGGAATGCTTTTATGCAAAACCTGACCACTGGATTGGAGTAAGAACAATCAAAAATCGTGTTCTTACCATTTATTAATTCAAATCCAAGTGACTATAATACGCTGTTTACTGTAATTAGATTTGCTATTTCCAAAAGTAGATCTGTTGGTATGAATACGTGTGTAATAACTTTCGATCAGCTATACATGAAATCGCAAGATATAGTTTGTTACGTCCGGTGGACTCCACGATTTCTTCGTTTCGCGACCGTTCAATCAACGAAGTAAGATATGAACAAATCCAAGTGATACAAATCCGAGAGAAGTTTCCAACCACAAAATCTTGTTTGCCTAGAATCGAGAGACCCGCAATAAAAACTCTCTCATAGTGCCGATAATCAAACGTTAAATCTCCTTTCGAGCATCGTGGAAAATGAAAGTCAATATCAAATAATCACCAAATAGCGTTGGTACCAAGGCGCTAAGCCAGGTCACGAAATGATTGCCTAGAATCGAAAGATCCGCGATAAAAACTCTTTCGTAGCATTGACTATCAAACCTCTTTTTGAGCTCGTGGAAAACGAAAATCAAACAGCGTTGGTACCAAGGCTAAGCCAAGCCACGAAATAATCCCTGCGATAATAAGAGTGATAGCACGGACCGACGCTCGAAAGAAGATGAAATGTTTAACCATCTCACACCGATATCGCACGGGCCCAACGATAATGGTCCCACGCTTAGGCTTAAGATAGGGTTATAAATCTAGTAATGACATTTTCCGACACTGAGAAAAATCAACACGAACCGCGACTCTCGATTAACTAATCCAGAGATATCTATCCATCGTTCAATGTGAGAACGAATAAAAAATGACATAGCGGGCGGAGCTAACCGGAAGGCAATTTTCCAACGACGAATCAAAACTGTATCACCTTAGAATCCCGTAAACCTGATTCCCTAATTTCCCAATTAGACACACCCTACCATGAAACCTCCCCCTAAACTATCCCTATATAAACCGCGACATCGCGAGACACAAGTCAGAAAAAATAGGAAAGTCAGAGAAATAGGAAAATCAGAAAGTCAGTCAAAAGATAGGAAAGTCAGAAAGTCAGCAGAAAGGCAGAAAGATAGAAAAGGTTTTTTTTTTAAACTCAGTGCGTACATTTTCAAATATATTAAAACATTAAAATCAGTGCGCCGCACAGTGGGCGCAAAGGCTCCTTTTGTGGACAAAAATCGACCGACGCTCTAATTCTTAACCGATTTTAAAGTTTTTTTTTTAATTTGTTCGAAATTGAATGAGCTATAAGCCTGTTGTGTAAATTTTGATTACTGTCCGAATTAGGTATGGCCGATCCAATAAAATGAGCAAAAAATACGATAACGAATAAATTCGTAACAAATCGTGCAAGTATTTACGCAAAAACGTTATTATGTGTTTGCGTATGTATTGCACATCGAAAATAATAAATCTGTAATTTGAATAAAAAAATGGCGGATGTGAAATGAAGGAAAATTCAATAAATAACAGAATTTTCATGAAAACATGTCCAAAAATAAGGGAAGTTCTTTTCTGTCATTATATATATATATATATATATATATATGTCAGAAAGCATAGACATTTTTCAAAGACTGATTTTTGTTATATTACTTCATAATAAATGCATATAAAGTGCATTTAATAATGAAGCAATAATTAAGCCCTTTCACCAAACGTCAAGGTATCAGTCATGAAAGGGGTTGTTTTTTTAAGGTTTTATATATATGTATATATAGAACCTTAAAAGTAAATGTACATATACATATACGTATATCCTTTATTTATTGCTGTTTTTAATATTT